GCTGATACTGTCCAAATTTTAATCGTTACGAAATTAATGGACCCCGTTGAATAATGTGCGATCCCTCATGTGTAACGAGCAGGTTGACGGGGCAGCCGCACTCCGTATAATTGTTCTACTTTTGGGGTGAATTTTTGAATGGACAGTTATCAAACAAATGGCGTATTGTAATTTGGGTATCGAACGTGTAGCCGAGGTGAATTAGTCATTCTGTTGACACACGGGTGAAGTTCACGCTCGGGCACTCCTAAATTCAATAGGAAAAATTACAGTACACAATTTGATACAATTAGGGATAGTGATGTACCGTGCCCGGGCACACTCCCAAGGACTGGAAATTTTGTTGGAAGCATTGCCGGCAACGCTCCCAAAGTGGGAATTTACTGGGATTATTGGATACATTTTTCGAATTTTCAAAATATTTCGTTTGAATTTGAATTACTTTATGGTTACCTGTGTACTGGATACGAAAGTTGATATTTTTATCTCATAATAACGAATATTCCCAGGATACTGGCAATGTTCCCGGCAAAATTCCCAGTAATATTTCCAGTTTATTGCCGGCAAAGTACCCAAGAAACATCTTAACGATGGGTATCTGTTTAGTGTAGAATATCTTACGATATTAAATGCAAAGATAATTAATATCAAAGGTAGATAATTAAAACAGTTTAAAAGAAAATTAACATATGAAAATAATAACTAAAATAGCGTTTCCGTAAACAAATTGTAAAATTAAAATAAACAAACCAACTTTTTATTAATGTTTTTTTATGCATAATTAATACATAGATACCTATATACTAATATTGTAAAGATGTAAAGTCTCCAAGTTTGTTTGTAAGGGCGAGGGGGGGGGGGGGGGGTTTCTTTGCACATTCTGTACTTTCACCCACCGTATGTGGGTGACATAGGCTATAATTTCCACGGGCAATGTTGCAGGAACACAGTAAGTAATATATACATTTATACAGTGGTCTAATGAAATCATAAAACATCAATAATTTTCCTTTGATTGAAATTGTTATTTACTTAAATACTAGTCTAAATTACTTTTTCCTGTTCTTTCCGTTGTTACTCTGTATCTTTTACGAGTATGAATATGCGAGAATGTGGAAAATGACCTCTCAACCGAAGCTGACGTAGCAGGTACTGGTAAAATTTTAATTGCTATTTGATCCAATAATGTATTTTCGAAAAAAGTCATCCACCACTATTTTGGATCGACTGTATTAGCAGCTTACCAAATAATATTTTTTGCATATAGCCTATTTCGACATTTATATTCTGATAGTTCCTTTATCAATTAGCAGATTCATCGTTAGTAGTGGCCAAATTCATAATAGCATTACAGCCTTCTAAATAATCTTCTTCTCTAAATTGGAACCACGAGATTTTGGATCAATTGGATCTAAATTGGGACTATTCAAAGCATTCCGTTTTCGTTCAAGAACCTTGCCTCGGAGTTATGGTAAATTATCCTCTAATACACCCATTGCGTTTCTGCTATTTAAAAGCTACTCGATATCTAATAACGCTCCATAAACTAAATGTATCGTTCAGTAATCTCCCTCAAGCTTAGAGATCCAATGCACAATTGGAGTAAAAAATCTGATGTGATTTTTAATCGTGGCCCATTTTGATTCATTTAAGATATTTTCTTTATAGTTATCCAGTTCCCGAATATCAATGATCACCATAGTCGGAAGTATAAGCGTTTAAAAAACAATGTAAATAACTTCCCCATCTATGTAGTTTGAAATGGTAATACGAGCGCTATATTTATAGATTTATCCTCAGAGAGTATTTTGAATTCTGATTTTAGAATATGTGATTTTGAATTTTTTGTAGAATTGCAAGATTCTGGTGTTCTCTTTTTAAATTTTATCCTAATCCTCTTTTTTGTCGACGGAGCATTGTTTACATGCGTTTACAAGATGATGCACAAATTTGGTTGCGTTCATTAATGTAAAATTATCGCCACAAAAGTTACATTTTTAAGATTTACGCCCGATTTCGTCTCTGTTTTCTTTGAGTCGCAAACAATGTACATACTAGCAAAACGGGAGCTGCAGTATTATGTTTGTTATAAAACGTTGAACTCGTCGTTGAGCGCAACGCTTTCATAGCATAGAGATTCAGGCAAATAAAACTAAGCACAAAGGTTATAAAGTTTTATTTCATTTAATTTCTATGAAGTGACACCGCTGCGCTCGACGACGAGTTGAGGATGTTTTTAACGTACAGATATTGTAGAAGGCGTTACGGATTGAAGTTAGAATCATAACAAGGCAGTGATTTAGTATGCTTATTCATCTATATAATTCGACAAAAAGTCCTGGGAACTTTCGGCAATATTCCCAATGTGCCCGGAAAATTTCCGGGCATATTGGGAGTGGAAAATTTCCGACAGTGGGAATATTCCCAGATGTACATCACTAATTAGGGAGTAGGTAATCTACACGGGTTATTTATAGTAAAACTTAGTTTTTAAGGTATTGGTTTGCTATTTGTATCCGTGTCTATGCACAAACCCATTTTAGTTAGCTGACTACCAGCTTTGCTATTCTGTAAAAAATAGCAAAGTTGAGTGATAGGTTTAATAAAAAAAACCTACTTTAAAAAGTAATCAAGGTTTTATTCGTTTGAAGCTCTATGGTGCGATAGCGCTGTGCTCTGACGCTAAGTTTTTAATGGAATAGCAATTTCAAGCATTTTATCCTAATGAATTTCTAATTAATTGTAATATGTGGGCTTCTCACTCAACACCTCAAATAAAATGTTAACTTAGGGATTGTAATACCGAATACCATTGAAAGAAATCTTTGATAGAAGCTATTATCTGAAAAGCAAGCATTTATTTTGTTCGATCAATTCTTTGCATTATTGATTTATAAAAGTAACAGCGTATAAACGCTGTTACTTTTATTATCATTTAAGCGGGTATATTTTGCGCCCAGTCGCAAAATTTACTATCGTATGTTTTCAAATAACAACAACAGGTAGCACGTCGTCTTATTGCTTACGTGACATAAAATTTTTCCATTTTCACCGTTGACCGACCAATCTGTCAGCTAATTATTTTAACTGTTAATTTTTTGCGTTTCTCAAAGTCTTTAGAGGGTTTTTCGTGGTGTCATACTGTGCTTGTTTCTTTTGTTTCTGTCTCTCTTCAAATAAAGCAATTGAGTACAAAATAAACTGTTATGTAATACTTTCGAATAATATAAAATTTATTTAAATAATACTGTTTTTAAATCTAACACCGTCGTATCCTAGGAATAAGAATGTAGGTATATCAATATCATTACTTTTTAGGTCGACAAAGCTATGACTAGTTAATATTGACACTGTATTTTCGATAACTTGGATATAAAAAGACATTTTAATTAAGATAAAGAGAAATCAGATGAAGAACGATGGAAAAGGAGATTTTATTTTAATTTGAACTATTTTATTTGTAAAACCTGATAACAGTGTTATTTGTCGTCTACAAAATATAATAAAAACCAACGATCATAGAGGATTCTCATGACTTCCAAAATTAAAAATGAATTACAAGGAAGATATTTAGTTTCTGTGTATTTTCAAATAAAATAATTTTGATTTTTTCCTCACTGGACAAATATTATTGGACAAAATCTTTTTTAAGATGAAAGCGTCACTAGCGAACTTTGATAGCTTATATATTATGTGATGCTTTGAAGATTTGTGTTAATAGATTTCGATAAAAATAAAGAGAATAGAAATCATTAATATGACAGACATTTATAACCTTAGTTAATTATGGCGTGACAGAGGCGTTGCGATTACATAAGTTTTTAACATAGTCAAAGTAAAGAAAATATCTGTTACTAATAACTTATCAAGACGCCTTTGTACCAATAAAAAGATACCAGGTACATACATACAGCGGAGATACCACTATTACGTATTAGCAGAATCGAAGCTCGGTCTCAATTTTGCTAATTTTAAGTAACAATAGCATCTCAATAGAGTCTAACTACTTGCATATAGCCATTGTACTGTTTACTTAAAGTCCAATATTATTAGTGTAATGTTTTCCTCACAAATCAATGGTAACAGATACATTTATTATTGTTTGTTCTAGTTTTGACAAAGACTAAGAGAGTGAATCATAAGGTGATCTTTTACATTATTGAGAGAATTAGTTGCCTGTGTGAATGTTTTCTTTCGTGCTAAGTTGTTGTTATCTGTCTGTCATGAGTATTTTATTTAAAGTGATTATCAGAATTTCATCTCGATGCGTTACATGGATTTTTGTTTGTTTTCACAATACAAACCCCAAACCTAAAGGGCTTCGTAAACAATACAAGGAATGCGGTATTAATAAACGAGTTATAAACGTGCGTTGCCGTTGATACAAACTACCATTTCGAGTGGACGAGACGATGCTATTTTCGTACGGCGGATGCGCGGACGCATCTCTGTAGCGTCAGAAAATAAGACAATCATGTCGGTCTAAAATAATTAAAATGAAGGGTAGCGATTTTGTTTTTATTTAATTTTAAAAAGAGTATCTATTAATTATCGTCATTGAAGCGAAAGTAGGATGTGGAAATAAAACCCTGGATTCTACAAAATTACCATTCAAACTTTCTTTGAGTTTGATTTCAGATTTTAATTACCGTTTAATAATGAAGTGGATTAGTTGGTCTCGCTGTTATATAAAACTAGAAAAATTTATTTGAGATACTGATTGAATTCTGTACAATCAAGGTGGTTGTTATTCAGACCAATAATAAACATAGTTCATTTATCTCGCAAGAATTTAGTTACAAAATTAATACGTTAAACACTTATCTAGCTAACATTAATATATTGTAAGTGATGAAAATTATAGATTATTTTTAAATATAACAAAAAATTCAATGTTGTTTTATCAACTGTACTTACAATACACATGTGCGTGTGAACGGGAGCTGCGCAGACGCACAGACCGACAAGTACAAATAAATATGGATAGTACCTACACGGTCATTGTGTGCCGCTCACCGGGCGGAACGAGGCGAAAGTGGCGTCACACACTAGTTAAACTAGATTTATTGCTGGTATTTATTCATATTTATGGTCTTAAGGTGGTTTTCATTCAATCCCTAACTTTAGGGAAGTCACGGCTTGTATTTGTGGAGGAATAAGGACTTTGACTCGACTCTAATATCTTTCTTATCTCTAATCTTTATTTACTAACAGTCTTCAAAAAATTTTATAAACTTACTGTAAATAAGAGGTTATCAATTTGATACCTGAACAAATGTCTAATGTTTACTCCACCACGTATGATGTATCTTCACGTAGGTGAAATAATTTTTAATCGATCCAGTAGTTTCGGAGCGTATTTGATGCAAACAAACAATCAAATCTTTTCATTTAGTATAGACAATATATTGCGTATTTGTTTATAGAATAACTATTAATTATATATATTAGTAATTTTAGATAGAAAACAGAAGATATTTCTCTTTGTAATTACGGTTTTTTAGTTGTATATATGAAAGTCCTTAACAGATTTGCATATAAATGTAGTGAGAAAGTAGAAATAATTTATATTTTGTGTGAACACCGTCAGGACAATGTAAGAAAATTGTAAAGTCAACAGCTTCTAGTTTAATTAACAAAGATAGATAGAGTTTGTCATGAAATATCCCGCGCAAAGTTTTACACACGTAGGTATTTATTATAGCCGAGTAGAAGAAAATACTGAGTACATTAACTGTTACAAAACATAATGTTACTTGGGTTAAGCAAATATTTTTAAATTTAATCATGTAAGAGCTGTCTAAATACTAGTTGTAATAACACCCGGTTTTTGAATTGAGTATCTAGGAATGTTATCACAAACAAATGTTAACACTGATTTGATATGTAAATAAACATTTTTGTTTCTTTTTTTATTTTGAGTATAAAGTTAGGCAAATTTCAAACTGTACTTTATGATTTTAGTATTTGTAAAAGCTTTTATTTAACTTGCAATGTTAGTATGTTTGGTTGGGTGGAATTTTTGAACTCAATTTTGAAGTAGATGTTTTCAACCGATTGGGCTGAAATTTTGTATACACGTTTAGTTTGGATGACAATGCATGATAAAGTGACTTTATTCTAAATCCAATATGGTGCACAATTTAATAAGATAGCGGAATAGTTATTTTTTATGCGCTTCTACAATATGGGTATCAAATGAAAGGGCTCGTTGAGAGTAACGAAAAGAATGTGACGTCATTCTAAAACCAATATAGCAAATCATAGAGGATGGCGGGGTTGTTATTTTTAATCCACTTCTACAATATGGGTATCAAATGAAAGGGCTTGCCGAGAATAACTAGAAAAGAAAGAGTAGAAGAAATCCGATATGATGCTCTATTGAAGTTTTTTATGCTTTTATTTTTTTTAATTAACGAAATTAATCGGAAAACAGCTTTGCAACAATAATGCGTTGAATGAGATGAACAGACTAAGGAACCCAGTTAGCAATATCTAAAAAATAAATTAAAAGCAAAAAAAGTTTATTTAAACGCTCTAAAAATAATAAAATAATATTTTCCTTTTAAATTTTAACTACCAACTTATAACCTCGTTATACACAATTTAACGTAATCACTCGCATTTTTTTAAATTACTGCATTAATATTTGTCTGTTCATGTTTAAGCATGAAAACACTTTTGTACTAAACTTGGGCACTGCAGGTGTTTTTAATCGTTACTATTAGTGAAATTATTGTTATTTTACATGACTGTTTGATGCGAAAATAAATGAAAAAAATAAAATAAAAAAAAAACAGGATTCCTGGTTTTGGCTATTACCCCCTTACTGGCTATTTAGAATTTCTTAGGTAAACATATTACTTTACAATAAATGGCTATTAAAATGTTGTATTATAACAAACAATACCGTTTACAGTCAAAGGAAAGTCAAAGGAAATGTCAAAGTTCACTTCCTCCTAACTGTCGAAATGGTCAAAATCGGGCCATTATTATGGCGTCTATATGTTAATAACCCAAAACCTTATTATTATGACTTCGCTGTCCATACGTCAGTTTATATATTTGTTCATTTGTCACAAGGCTGTATCTTATGAAAAGTGACAGTTGGACACTCATTGATCGATGAGTAATGACAACCCTCGGGAAATGATAATACAGGATATTTTTTGACCGATTTTTCTTACAGCTTTTCAGTAGTAAGCCTACCTACAACTTAACTTTTTTGTGTTATCTTTATTTTTTATTGTTATTTTTTTTTCTTTTATAAGTAGACCATTTTCTTTTGACTTAACCAGCAAATTAAGATCCACAGATTGTTGTTAAATCATCTATCCCAAGGCCGTGTCATAGTATCGAATCCCCGAATATGAGCGTGTCCCTATAAAATAATAAAAATAAAACTCTACATTATTAAACTTTTTTGTTACAGAACGAACGAGGCGACGGCAGTGGGAGTGAGCGAGACGGATTTAGTGGCCAGTTGGGAACAAGTTTTGAGTTTTTTTTTTTCAAAAAAGGCGATCGTTTTTGGTCGCCTAGTAATGCTCGAGTTTGAATAACGAGTGAAGTGTATGTGTATCGGAACAATTTGTGATATCGAAGTGAAAATCAAGATGGCCGTGTTTCCCGCGCTTTTTGGATTGCTTATGGCGTCTTTAGTGACAGGTTAGTGATTGTTATTTTTTAAGATATACATTATAAACAATATAAACCTTCCTTAATCCACTTGGATTAAGTTATACTTCTAAAGTAAAGGTTTTTATATAATAATAATTAACAACAGTTACCTAACCGCTCGACTGGTGACAAAAATTGTTATATTAGAATCGGAACTCGATTGAATTTTAAATCACTAATGCCATAATAATTTTCTTCGTTAAATATAAATAATCCATCGTTTTTAGAATAATATAACACTACCACCATAGGTATGTAATCTGAAGTCTGTTAAAGCGTCATCGGAGTCTCAACCCCGTTAATATTGACGTAGAGCAGCATTATGAAAATGTCAAGTAGATTTCTTTTACACATCTCTGAAGAATATTAAAAAAGATCTTAAAAGAAAATTAAAGTAAAAAATCATTGTTATTTTACATGAATGTTTGATGCCAAAATAAATGAAAAAATAAAATTAAAAAAAAACAGAATACCTGGTTTTGGCTATTACCCCCTAACTGGCCATTTGGAATTTCTAGGCGTTCTAACTAACGCATAGGCAAACATATTACTTTACAATAAATGGCTATTAAAATGTTGTATTGTAACAAACAAATACCGTTTACAGTCAAAGGAAAGTCAAAGGAAATGTCAAAGTTCACTTCCTCCTAACCGTCGAAATGGTCAAAATCGGGCCATTATTATGGCGTCTTGACGGCGTTTGCCACTCATTATCATTTTGACAATTTGACATATGCAATATGAGTCTTTATGCGAAGTATAAAACATTATTATTAACATTAAATATTAATATAATTACACGACTGTTTTAATTATACTTAGCAACGGTATCAATTGTGCTTCACTTCATAAATTTAAGTACTCTGCGAACAAAACCACTTGCAAATATTAGTGTTCAACATCAGTTCAGTTGATGTAGACAATAAACGGAATTCCACGATGAAATACCAAGTAAATTGGATTGTGAAATTAATTGAAATTCTTGATGAATTTGTATAACAACTTTGTTAATTTAATTATAATTCATAGTAATATATTCACTTTGCTAATAATATTCCTGTAGGAATTGTATTATAGAAGCCAGAAATTAGGTAAATCCTTGGAAAATCATAGTTATCATCATTTAGCCATCAAAATAAACTACGTAATTGTGTCTGTCCATTGAATGATGAATGTGTGATTCCAAATAATTTTATGAAGTGAAATAAGAACAATATTTTTTTTCGACATTTTTACATCCACTATAGAGGAAATGCAGCATATTTGGAATACTGTAAGTAACATGGAATATTTAGATGTCTTTATCAGTATAAACGTTATCTGTGTTTTATCCCCGTAAACATTACTTCACAAGACATTTAGCAAGCGAGGTCTAAAAACGGGACATTATATTGACATTTTCGCTAAAAGCCTCAAAGGGAACAAAAAACGTGCTTTTAAATCTTTCTCGGTAAGAATACAATCAGTGATAATTATTTTTAACAGAAGAATAATCTTATAAAGTTATAGTGTAAGTTTGATTAATAAATTTATGTAGAATTCAAAATTTATTACGGATTTAGGTTAGGAAGTGCAATCCAAATTACCTGCACCCTAAGTCACAATAAGTTTTTGGAGGCTTTTATTTTGATTAAAAATTTATTACGGTTTCTATTTTTTATGTTATTTGATACTTTGTATTACTATAGTTTAATAAATGTTTGATGATAATAATCCTTCAATTTGATGCTTTTATTGAGACTATTGCGCTATTCCGCTTCTCTTCCAAATTATGCCCAAAAACAAACTAGTATTCCAAATATGCTTTACTTTCTCTACTAATTATTAATTTATAGAAAAAGCACTTTAAATACAAATATTTCTAAACTACATGTCACTCAAATAAAATAATTTAATTTACTTATTTCATTACTTTTGAAGATAAATTCAGTAAAGTTAATACAATCGATCATAACAAAATGAGATACCCAAGAAATTGTTCTGTTTAAAAAACACTTTCATATTATCCCGTTGATAAGCAATAAGCAACCAGAGCAGAGTATATCAAATGACATTCGGCTTATATTCTGCCAAATAATATTTTATCCCTTGTTTGGCTGTTTATAATCCAATATTCGAAACACCTTCGCAAATATTGTGTGATTGAAATAATTAAGTATACATACATCGAAAGTCAAACACATATAACTTAAACATCTCTACTAATTTGGACTTTATGCAGAAGCAATATGAGTGCTTCTGATATTTCAAACGTGTTGGTGGTTAATATTACTCCCACCCTTAGATGACACGCTGAGGACGTGACCTAAATCAACAAATATTGTAATCATGCCGCCATATGTAAGACTGAAGGTTAATCAGTGTTACGTGTGTGACATACGTCATGTATGAGGGTACAATACAAAAAATTAAGGGATATATTACCATATTAATTACAGAAATATCTGGGTAATAACATTTTTTTGAATATTTTATCTCTTTCACATACTGTAGATTGTAGATTGTTTCAGATAAAGGATGGATTTTTTTTGTGTGCCATCACCAACATTTTCCAGATTTACTTGATTGGATCATTCCCTTTGCTTTATACTAACTCTAGGCGGCGCTAGTGTAGTTGTAGGTCAAACGTCAAATTCATAATTGGCACCACTTGGAAAGAAAACGTAAGTATACCGTACAATTTTCATAAATATCGTGGGAAAATATGACAAATTGAATAGAGAAAATATGTAAAAAAAAAAATCAGTAATCTATGTCGAATGCATTGATGAGTTATGTCTCTTGGACTTTATTGTTTTTGTGGTCATGCCATTTCTATGGAAGTAACTGCTTATTGTCACTAACAGCCGCCTCCTGTTATTTCTACGAAAGTCATTTAAGGTGAGATTGTACGAAATTTCCACATTTTAAACCATTTTATTCTAAGGCTATGGTAATATTTGCTAAATAATTTTATGAAAATTTAACATTGGATTGTTTGCTAAAACAGAAACATAAATTTCAATAAATGGCTCGTTAAAAAATTACTTAAAATATGTTTTTATGTCGATTTTGCAACTAATATATTCCATCTTAACTATTTAAAAATAAATGAAATAATAGGTTTGTTATTATTACCTAAAACATACAAAAAAGTACTCCTTTGTTTTTTCAGTGACTAAAAATATATGAAATCATGTTAGCGCGACTTTACTCTCGATGCGTATTTGTATGGGAACGTAAACGGAGACAAAAGTCGCCAGTGCGCGCATGGCCTTATATGAGCAAAATACAGATTTGATTATATTTTTCACTTTATCTAAGTGCCAACTTATTTATTTATGTTAAATCATTGACTTTTACTGATCAAATTGTTTAACGAAAAATTAACCAAATGACAGATGCCATGACCGACAAATTAACTAGCGCCATCTACATTTAGTTTTTCATATTGCCATTGAAGCTTTGGTCCTCGCTCATATATCTACATGACATATTTCTATTAGAAAATACCTGAGAATAGCACCCTCTAACTATAAATAGTGTTATTGGCTATTACCGTGATACGATAGAAGGTGGTTTATTTATAAATAGTTTAACAACCGGCGCGTTAGGCGTCTGGTTTACATTAAACTTGACCGTGGCACTGAGGTAGAGCGTAGACACGGTTCATTGCCTATTACTGCTTATTTAACGGATACTTCGAAGATTCTAGGACACATGGTAACGTTAAACGTTTTTGTTTTTATCAAACTTCTAAAAGGTGGTTCCCAATTTGACCCGTATGTTTGTCCGAGATTATCTCGTGTTTGGCTGAACTGATTTTATGCGGTTTTCTATTTGGCCATACAAGTATCATTAAAATATTTTTTTTTTCTTTCTAATAACAGAATCAACTTCAAACTAAAAAAGTGAGAAATACCTACGGTATGAAATTTTTTTAAGAGAAACCTCTTTATATCCTCAACATGCATAAATATGCTAATACCTATGTAACCACTAACTAATATTGAAAAGTACGCAAAAAAATCTGTTAGTTTATTATGTTTTTACGACTGAGGTTTATCCCAATAATATTTTTTATGTGTTTTGGTATATGAATAAAATGGATTTGGGAGAAGTTAATTTTCCTATAATAAACTTCAGAAGTGGTATGAAAATTTCTTCGAAGAATATACACTTGAAATGTAAAAGGATTTCAAGTATATATTCAAGTTTTTGATACAAATTCCCAAAATTATAAATTTAATTAGTTTCAACATTTTGCCAAGAACCGTGGAATTCTAATAATAAATGGATCAATATAATGGTTAAATTTAACTTGATTATTAAATGCTTCAACAAAAGCCATATAAATTAACATGATCCAAGTATACAGGATGTATTTGTTAACAAAATCCCTTCAAAACCTAAACGTATGGCCAGTACGTTTAAAAATTCATCTAAAAATAACTTTTAACTAAATGTATACAAACATCATTGGCTTTCTCAAGGTCTACGAACTGCCATGTGTTTTGTAAATAAATGTAAGTAACTATCTTATCTTTTACTTTATCTAAGTTTTTATCTCTAATATAATAGTAACATTATGCGAAATAAAAAAAAATGCTTATAAGATAATTACGAGTATGCCAACATTAAATGAATATTAAAACAATTATGTCAAAGTATTGGTATGCCGAAATTCGAAGGACTTCGAGATAATATGGTTTTGGTTACCAGTCCGATGGCCAGCTAATAAAATAATATAATACATAGTAATAATATAATATAAAGATGCAGGATGTTATCAAATTGATCAAGTTTCCAATGTGATAACGAGTTCATTCTCTTTCTAGTAGTCAAATTTATTTCGGTTCAATCCCAAAGGACAATTAGAAGGGTCGGGCGGAGCTTTAGGTAATGGAACGCTTTACGCCACTGTTGGCCCATATATTAGGATCAAGTTTCGCGTATTAAATCTTTAAATATATGCACAAATGAATTCATAAACTTGTACTAGTGGAAGA